AGGCTTATGCATAAATACATAAATAAATATGCTGGCATATTGACAGGATGATGACTTAAGTAGTAATGATAATTTAAGACCGGTTTTCTTTATCAGGAGTTTACTGTATTTTGATCTAGTAAGGTACTCTGTATACCTGGACTGAAAAACAATTCCATGTTCCACTGTATCTTTTGCCCAGAAAACATACAATCACTGCATTTTACAGTATATCCTGGGAAGCACTTTGGAACATCCTCCTGATGTGAAAGACGCTAGGCTAAATGCTAGGATTATTTATTGTTATCTTTTAACCTGTATTCAACATACCGTCTGCCAGGCATCATCAATGATTAATCTCATAATGTCTATAACAATCTAAATAAATAGAATTTTAACTATGACCAAACGTGGCACCTTATGTTTCCCCACAACGACTGCTGGAAGTGTAGCTCAAGCTACTCTGACTCATAACGCTGACATTAACTCTTGCCTAAAGGGTTGAGGCCTTATGGCCTACTGACCCCTTTCCTTGCTTACAATGGATGGAATACATGCCATAAAAGGATGTTTTCAGAGCAGTTTCCTGAAGCCATCTATGACCTAAGCACATCCACTTGAACCACTGCTCAGACTCAACAGCTTATTGAAGCTCTTAAATATGATTGCTTAATAACAATAATAATCCTTGCATTTGATATAGCGCTTTTCACCTCTTCTAAACATCCCAAAGCGCTTCACAGAATATACTGTAAAGTGAATTGACTGTATATTTGTGGGCGAACGCTTCACAATGAAGCTGCGGGACAAAGGTGCTGCTGACGACCGTTACATGGATATTTTATGTACAGCAACTGAGGTTCGGAATCTTGAATAGACGCTGCTTTCATTTATTATTTTGTTTTCATTCAGACAATCTTTCATTTTGATCTTTTTTTTGGTCAGCCGTGTGTGTGATATACCTGGAAACCTGTCAGTATGCTTAAAAGAGTGTCCAAACCAGACAGAGTTGTATGTCACCTAAACATGGAAATTCCCAGTCTGGAACGGAATGCATACTATTTCTGGAGAGATGCATCCTGATCACCTAATTCCTGAGAGAATTAGGTGCAGGTTGCAAGAGACAAGCCTTGGGGACCCCAGAGTGTGTGTTGGGGTTGCTGCCAGAACTTAACCAGCTAAAACTGTATTGCTTGCCATTGAGAACTCTGTCACAAGCTTTCCGTTATAAGCAATGTCCTGGAGTACTGCAGACCCACCGGGGTCAGGAACCGGACTATTGAAACCGCCACAGAGGATTGACTCAATTCCGACATTCATTTCCCAGCATGTCACCTTGGATCCAGCAGAGCTACCGGGAGATCTTGCGTTATATCATAGAGGACAATGATTGATTTCACTAAATATCCAATTATTGAAATTAGTTTCCTGTATAAACTGGATCAAATATTTCACACATATCGAGACTGTGTTTTGTGAACGTACGCTGGATTGATAGGATAGTCATCTTAGAAAATGTCATCTTGGAAAAAGATTAAGATGCTTGTAAGCCCGTGGTGGGTTCTGGGCTTTTACTTGTTAATAGTGTGAGTAGTAGTTCTTAATTCAGGATGACATACATCTCCGTAATGTATTACAAAACTACTGAACATATTGCAATAGAGAAAGTCAATAAAATAATGTAGGTATAATGCTTTATTGACAATTCAGAGCAAACAGTGTAAGGTAGTAATATCAATGCCAACAGGATGCTGGAATATATATTGCTAAATCTGTTGTGTTCAGATGCCCAATGTCATACTCAGGCTGTATATTGCTCTGGTTGTGCCACATCTAGAATACTGCATGCACTTCTGATTGCCACGACATAGTGCAGAATAAAGCAGCAAAGATAATCCCCATTAGTACATAATGAACTAAAGTCTATGACCAACAATTAGACAAGCTAAGAGTCTTCAATCTTCAGTAACATCTGGGAATCTGAACTTAACCGATTTTGCAATACAGTCCAGCATCCCATTTTCATTGTTTATTGCTTTCTCAGTCTCACTGTGAACATATTCACACTATAACAGTTCATATTCTAATCCTTGGTCGACCTGTATTGTTTTTTGTAGGCAGCAACTATGGGCACAGCAGAGTCACACAAAGAGTTTTGAGGTGAATAAATGATTTGTCCAGGGGAATGTTGGCTAGAACACCAGGAGAAACTTCCTTCTCATTTTGAACAGTTTCACTGAATCTTTAACTTCCACCTTAAAAACAGGCAGACTGGTTTATTGCTTTCTTCTTTCACCCAAAAGACACAGCAACATAGAACACCAAATACGTCACTGGAATATCAGCCCAAGCTGTGAGCTCAGTACCAAAGGCAAGAGAGCTACCCAGCTGACAGTTTGTTTAATTGATGAATAAATAAGGAACTGAAAAATACTTGAGTCTTATGTCAGACGCTTGACACTTAACAGATTTTTAAAAGTCAAGCCAGGCCTTGTTTTGAATTACTAAATCATTGTGCACTTTGACCAGGGTGCAGTATTACATTAGGACTTATTACACAGATAAGCTCCCTTGTTAAAGGGTTGGAGTTTGATGTAGGTTTTCCTGTTTGGTTAACTCTGCTACTCCATTTTCTGTGATTGCTACACATCAGCTAACTTTCATTGTATCACACAGCACAACAGTTTCACATGTGGAATGTCTGAGAAACCCATTGCCATAATTGCACTACAACAACAACAACAACAAGATTCCATTTATAAAGCGCCTTTCACGTCAGGAGGACGTCCCAAGGCGCTGCACAGTTGGGTCATGACCCGAGCAGGGGGGAAATGGTCAGGGTGAGGGAAGGGAGGGAGCGAGGAGGGGGGAAATGGTCAGGGTGAGGGGAGGGAAGGGAGGGAGGGAGCGAGGAGGGGGAAGAGAGTCGAGAGGGGAGCTGAAGGCACTAGGCAGACCTAGTATCTAAAACTAGATTAGCCACATTCTTTAAACCTGAATTCACTAACTGCGCCTTGTGACAAAAAGCCCACCTCCATTGTTCCACCATGGTCTTATACAGTGCCCGTTGTGTAACACAAAGGAATGGTTAAAGAGGTATAAACGCAGAAGTCGCTGGGAACACTCAGCAGATCCGGCAGCATCCATAGAGAGAGAAAATTGAGTCAACGTTTCGGGTCCACGACCCTTCATCGGGGAGGGGGTAGGGTGGGGGGCAAGGTAGAGGGATTGAGGGAGAGTATTCAAGCATATACCCGCCCGTACCCTCCGTTCCTCTGGCTCCGGTCTGCTCCACATCCCCCGCCCCAACCGCCCTACCATCGGTGGCCGGACCTTCAGCCTCTCAGCCCCGAGGCTCTGGAACTCTATCCCCCAGTGCCTTCGCCGCCTCCTCCCTTTCCTCCTTCAAGGCCGGTCTCAAGACCTTTCTCTTTGACCGAGCCTTCAGCTCCCCTCTCGACTCTTTACCCCCTCCTCGCTCGCTCCCTCCCTTCCCTCCCCTCACCCTGACCATTTCCCCCCTGCTCGGGTCCTGACCCAACTGTACAGCGCCTTGGGACGTCCTCCCGACGTGAAAGGCGCTCAATAAATGGAATCTTGTTGTTGTTGTTGTTTCAGGGTGTAGTGGCTGAAGGTACGGCCACTGATGGTGGAGCGGAGGTAACGAGGGACAAATAGGAGGCTGGAGCCAGCCGAGCAATGGCAGCGGATAATGGAGTGGGAGGTAAGCAGATTGGATAGGTAAGGAGGTGCAAGGGCATGAGGGGATTTGAAAACAACTAGGAGGATCTTGAAATTGATCAGGTTGGTAATTGGGAGCCAGTGGAGCCTGATATGTACTGGTGTGATGGGGATACAGAGTTTTATGCAGGTGAGTATCCAATTGGTGGAGTTTTGGATTAATTGGATTTTGTGTTTGGTGGATCTGGGGAGACCAGCGAGGATGCCTTTGGAATAATAATAATAATCCTTGCATTTGATATAGCGCTTTTCACGTCTTCTAGACGTCTCAAAGCGCTTCACAGAATATACTGTAAAGTGAATTGACTGTATATTTGTGGGCGAACGTG